GCTAGCATTCAAATCCCACATCAGGACTATGCTCTTACATCTGCTTTGTGAAGTGTAGCACCATCACAACAACCCTGGCAATATGTCCCATGACTACAACCCGCTTTAATCTGGAGCAAGAAGGCTGGCATGTTGGACCTACACTTGAGTTTGAAGAATCAGGCCCTTGGACAGCTGGGGATTTAGGCAATGCTTTAATTGGTGTGGATCAGTTACTAAATAAAATACTGAACTCAGCACGAAAGCTGGAGTGTGAAGTCAATAACAATAGATGGGGTTAGGAGGGAAAAAACCCAAGAGGTGTCGACTTTCTGACACCATGAAAAGCTGGAAAGTTACTTCACTGTGGAGTGAAATAGCTTCATGCACAGAATGCAGCCTGCATGCTGGGAGGGGATTACTTTTTATGAGCAGAAGTGGAATAAAAAATTCTTTAAATTAAGCCCACGTGTGGAAAATTAAGAAAGGCTGCAAAGAGGCTCATCCTTCAGGGAGTCCTAGCCTTGAAAGGTTAGGGAAAGCCCAGCTGTGCCCCAGCAGCTGGTACCCCACAGACTCTGAAAGAAATTGGACCCGGCCCCCCCACTGTGAAATTACGGGGACTGTTTGCAAAGTGGGGGGCTGGTCCTCGTCCAGTTGGGTAGTGACATTTGGATTCCACTTGGCTGCATTTCAAGTGCACATATTGAAAATTACATCCCTCAGCAGTGGGATGAAGTTGCCATCTTGAATGGAAGAAGCTCTATTTATAATGACTTTGTAGATATTTTTAAACTCCAATAAAAGAAAAAAGCATGACAACTGGCCCATATCTAATGTGACAAACAATACTTTGTAGGTTTTGATTGGGGAAAAACCACATTTCAGCATAGGACAGGTGCATGCTCCCACGGGCACAATGTGGTAACATCTACCCTTTCTCTTACTGATTTCACCACAGCCAAGGAAGCAAGGCTCTCGCGTTACACTAAAAGATCCCTGTTTGTCACAACTATGGGAATTTTACAGAATTCAGGGTGTAACTGAGGCTAGAAATATCCTGGTTCACTCTCCCTCCTATAGCCAGTCTGCTGATATTTTGAAAGCTTCCCATGGCAGAAGACAGCTACTCTCCTCCCAGAGAAGTGGCTGGTGTATTCAGAAACACACGTGGGGCCATCAACCAGAGTGATTTAGGGTCACCTCAGACCTTTCAGAACAGCAGTGGAACCAGACGCCCTGCTTACCTCTCCCTTCTGGACTAGTTTGGATACAATAAATGGCCACAGTAAAATATGGACTAGTCCTGCTTTCGGTGAGGTCAGCATAACCAAACTACTATTGATTGTGAAGGGAAGATCAGACCCTCTCTGAAAGGAATATTCACAGTAATTAATCACTCATGAGCTACAAAATTCAAACAGCTTCATTAAAATGTATTACTGGTGAGCTCTGTTCAGTTTTCCTTTTATGCTGTTGGTAAAATATGTTAGAGCATTCTTATAGGATGCTGTCTGAAAGGTAGCATTCATGGGAATATTGCATTGTCTTAAGTCCCAGGACATGTTGCATGAGTTGAGTGTTGTTGATCTGCTGGAAGCAGCAGCAGCAGAACAAACATCTGTGGCACCTATTCAGGGCATCTGCAGTTCTTCCAGGATGACCTCACCTGCAAACCAGCCTTATGACCACGTAAATCTGAAATACATTCTGTGCAAGGGCTGTAGTACAATGACACTAAATTCTGAGACCACCACAGAAAATGGGGGTAGTGATGAGGCTGCATTGTCCCAGTCTTTGGAAAACAGCGTGCTTCCACCTTGGGGAAGGAGGGCAAAGTTGGAGGCTTTCTCAGGTTTGGGAGCACGACCACCATTTTCAACAGGCCAAGACATCATCCCTTGTTTTTCTTCACCACTTTTTCCCAAATTGCATCCTACTGTTCTTAAACTATGTGACCTATCAATGAAATATAGTCACCTCTATATCAATTACAGATTGTCAACTCTCATCCCACCTATGGCCGGGAGGAACAGGGCAGGTACCTCCAGTGCTCAGGGGGAACCCAAGCCAGCAGGAGTCACCTCCCAGCAGAGTGAGTTACCCCGGATGACAAGGCAGATGTTTGAGCTCCTCCCTGATGCTGTGAAATGGCCTAATACAGACCTCAGCCTCCTTGCCCCTCTCCTTCCCTGGAGACGCTGGTTTTTGCTGGTTTTAATGTGCATGGTGCTACCTCAACATGCTGCTGGTTTCTGGAAGCACTGCTGCATGGTTTTCACTGTCTGGAGGACAGACCGCTTGGACCTCCAGAGGAGACAAGGCCCCCTTCAAAAGCTTCCTGTCTTCTTGGCCCACGAATAATTAAGATGCATAAGACAGGCAGTTTAGTTATTTATTTATAGGTTCTTCGGTGCTACTTATCATGGCAGCATCAGAGTGGCAACAGCCTGATATGCTAACGGATGGAGGTGCAACCCTATCCCGCTGGTCATCCCATCCCAGGGAAACCTCTGCAGCGGACACTGCCGTGTCGCAGAGCAGAGCAGAGTCGACGTGCCGTGGCAGAGAAAGAGGAGCCGGTGCTCTCCCCCAACCCTGCTCGCGCCCTCCTGCACCGACCACTCCTGCCTTTCCACTCTGTTAGGGCTCCGGAGGCTGCTGGGTAGCTGGGGGTGGTGGCATCCTGTGGCGTTTGCTAAAAGCATATGGCTGAAGGAGTTTCTGGTTTACTGTCTCTGGTGTGGAGAAGAGAAGACCTTGTCTCTTGACCCCTGAATTACATGTTAAATATCTGACCACCATTTTGCACAACTTGGCAACCCCAAGGACTAGCCGCTGTGGGGGTAGCACTCAGGACAGGGCGTGGGCAGGAGGAGGCAGCACTATGGAGACTTGATCAAAAGACAGGAAAAAAATTGGAAAACACTGTGTGACTCGCAGAAGCTGTCAGAGATTGATGGATTGCTCTGACTCACTGTTGGTTGGCTCTGGGGAAATGGCCATGAGCTGGAGCACATGAGGTGCTGCAGCCTGTAGGCCCCCTCGTCCCAGAGCATCCCTGTTGCTGCCCAGCCCTGCATGGTGTTTGCTTCAGCGAGCTGCCCACAGATAAGGAAAGCAACCCGGAGCAGTTCTGCCTGCTAGTTCTGAGGCACAGGCCTTTTTAGTGTTTTCAGTGAAATGATGGCCAACGTGCCACTTGCCTCAAGAGATGCAGAAATGGTGCTTTGCTTGATAGGTTCAGTCTTTGGGAACCACCTTTTAAATGAGATTCTCTTATTTATCTCTGAAATAAAACTTGGTCCTCCCCAGCCTGGATAGAAGGTAAAGTGGGAACAGTTATAAATGGTCTTAATTTTTTTTGTGATTATTTTTTCTAAAGGAAGAAGAAAACCCAAAGTACTAGAGAAAATCCTACCTTATGCAGGATATGTTCTTCTCTCTTCTCTATTGCTGAATTTATTACAGGCATGCTAGAGGAATCCTAAACTAGAAGGAATGTTTTTAGAAAGTCTTGATACTCTCTTAAATTAAAAGCTACTGACACAAACACTCCTTTTGGTTTAAGGTATCTCCAAAGCAAACAAGAAAGCACCTTGCAAAGCTGCCAAAACATGCTAAAACAACAGTGTGTGAAGTAGCTCATAGTACGGAAAACCTTTTCATACGGATATTGTCATGCAGGCTGCTATTCATAACGACAGGGATCACCTGCTCCTCTTTCTGCCACATAACATCCCAGTGACGATTCCAGCAATTGCTTACATGGAAAAAGGGGTAGGAAAGTACTTATGTATTTTTAGCTATCTGTTTAAAACGCAGTTCAGCAGCTGGAGAAAGATAGGAGAAACCAACACCATGTAGGCAATCACTCACGGTGGAGATTAAAAAGTGCTACATCAGTTTCTGAACTTCTGAGGTAAAACATAAGGTTAAACACTGGGGACAAATTGTGCACTCACTACTTCTGTGTCATGTCATCGAGGATTCCAGATTTGTGCCCATGCTGCTGCAAGTGCATCAGAATCTCCTTCACCAAGGTCTACTGTTTACTTTGTCTGCTGTATGCAACTTTTAACTGAATCACAGTTTGTTGGTTTTTCTTGGAAAATAAAAATAATTTTAAAATAAAAAAATTAAAAGGAAAAAAAGGATAACAGGGAAAAGGAAAAAGAAGAGGGGAAAGGAAAGGGGGAAAAAGGAGAAAGGAAGAAAAAGAAAAAGAAAAAGAAAAAAGAAAAAAGAAAAAAGAGAAAAAAGAGAAAAAAGAGGAGAGGAGAGGAGAGGAGAGGAGAGGAGAGGAGAGGAGAGGAGAGGAGAGGGAAAAAGGGGGAAAGGGGAAAAGGGGAAAAAGGCAAAAAGAGAAAAGGAAAGAGGAAAAAGGTAAAGCAGTTGTAACTGGTTTTTTTCTGGGGTTTTTGTGGCACTCAGACTTGTGAAATGTATCACAGCCTGACTGTTGACCTATTACAACTGCTTGAAGACCTCAGCCAAAAATTCTGATACTGATACAGCAACATATAATCTGCTCAATCTAAAAATAAAGAATGATGCTTAGAAAATAGTGTAAGATTAATTTATTTACAAATATTTCAGCCAGTTATATTTTAAAAAAACTTTTGTTCTGAAGACTGAAGAAGAATAAAAGTCTTATTCAGAAATTTTAGACACACTGACGCTTTGCTGTTCCTCGGTGGTATTTTTAGTGTTGGCTTTTCCTTTTCTGGAAGCTTCTAATGTAACAATACCTTGCACCACAGTGCTGATGTGAGGATCAGTGGTTCATTAAAAGCTAATCCGCAAGACATTAGGTATACAAGTGTCACAGACACATGAGATTTGAGAACAAGGAGGAACACAGTGGTGAAAGGATTGTCAAATATACAGACAATATCCCCATAAGTGGGTACTACCATTAGTTTTGCAGGAAAGCATTAGTTCTGAAAATTAATTTCGTATGTGTAATTACTGGTCACAGCTGTTTAGGAAGTGGTATTATAGCAAGTTAGACTGAAATCAGTCAAAAGACATTTTATTTATTTTTTTCCATTTGAGATTATCTCACTGGTTTAAGCAGCACTCTATACTCAGAAATCCCTACATCTGTAAAAAAACCACAAAGACCATAAATATCTAATCAGTCTTGAATAATTCACTTATCTTCGCTTGCACACGATCTACATACAGCCTTTCAGACTAACTCTCGGATAATTCGTTCGCTATGAACATCAGTCAGTTATCTACAGGGCTTGATATAGTCTTTATAGAAAGAGAAAATGGCAGAAATCGCTTTACTTTTCCTCCATGGATAGTCGGTAAAGATTCTCGCCCAAGTACTCGAGCCTCTCCCTTTGTTCCAGGTCCTGGTACAAGCCTTTGGGGACCTTACTCAAGCCATAAACCAAGCCGTAGAGGCAGCCGGCGATAGACCCAGTAGCCGCGCTTTCTCCTGCAGGTTTAAGCACAATTGCAAGGGTGTCTTAGAGTCACCTTTGCATACGCAACCAAAACCCGCGCTGCACGGTGGGGAGGAATATTACGCTGCCGATGGAGTGTGGTGAGGCCATGTTGGGTCAGTCGTCAAGGATTGCACCGCTCCATGTACTAGTCCCGGGGTGCCTGGGGAAGGGACCGACGCCAAGGCGTGCACGCGGTGATGCCACAGAGGCGTGCGCTCCTGGGCTAGGAGCTTATTTGGTTTGGGGAAGATACACTCCAACACAACGGCTCTTGCAAGCAGCTAGCTATGGCTAGGAAAAAAGGAGGGAAGGGTAATTGCAGGGGTCCCTGCTACACGGCAAATGTGCTGGACTGGAGATCATACCTTCCTTCCTCACAGTGCAGCATGGCACTGCACACCGCTTTAAAACATCTAGCCATGGCGAGTAGCACTGATTCTCTGTGTGATGCCCGTGGGTTTGTGCCTGCCGGGCTCTGCAGCGAGGGGCTGTGAGCTCTCTTGGTTTCACCATGTGCAGATAAAAGGTTACATTGCCAAAGGCACTAGCATTTTGGTGGGGGAAGATACCAGCCCTTTACTAAGTCATATTGGATTTATTTCTCATGCATTTCTCAAAACTGTGAGACTTAGATGGTGCAACATTTGAAAAGCACCATAAACAGCTTGCGTGGCAGCCGCCGCTGCAAGAAGGGGGTTTAATGTGTAAAACCAGGGGCGCAGAAATA